GTTGGGTCTAAAGTATTCCCAACAATTTTCTGCAACACCACATTTCAAAGGCATCAATTTTTCTTTGTGCAGCCTTTCTGATGATCCATTGTTTAGAGCTATAGACCTCTAAAAACTATGCCCTTAACAATACATAACTTTGTTCTCAGTATGATCTCTGCACCATCTTCCATAGCCTCTTTATTTCATAAAAAGTCACAATTCCTGTGACTTTTTGAGCAAAGGAAGATAATCTATTACTACTTCAATTCTATTTGCATTCTGTTGGTATTGTGAGAGATATAATTGTAAGGGATTTTTAAAAAGAGATCTCTTAAGTCTTCCTCTGTTCCAGTCATCTAAATGGTATCATTAGCACACCTGAGGTTGTTGAAGTTTGTCCAAGCAATTTTAATTTCTTCTAATCCAGTATTTTTCATGAGATACTCTGCATGTAAATTTAATAAATGAAGTGACAGTATACAACCTTGGTACACTCCTTTTCCAGTTTTGAACCATTTAGTTACCCCATAGTCTATTCTAACTGTTGCTTCTTAGTCATCATGCAAAAAGACAAATGAGGTGTCCTTGTACACCCATGTTTTTAAAGGCCATCCACAATTTGTTGTGTTCTCCATATTTAAAAGGTTTAGCATAATCAGTGAAGCAAAAGCAGACATTGTTTTAGAACTCCCCTGGCTTTTCCATTATCCACTGAATGTTAGCAGTGCTGCCTCTTCTGAATCCAACTTAAATATTTGGCAGTTCTCATTCTCATGTATTGTTGAAGATTGGTTTGCAAAACCTTGAGCTTTTTCTTACCAGCCTTTGAGATAAGTGCAATCATTCAATAGTCTGAGCAGTAGTTTAGCACTGCCCTTTTTTGTATCTGGAATATAAATGTCTATTTTCCAGTCCCTTGCCCACTGCGAAGCTTTCTATACTTGCTTATAAACTGCACGTATTACTTGAACTGTGTCATCTTACAAGATTTTAACCAATCCTGTTAAGATTCCTTCAACTCTGAACCTTGGTTACTAGAAATACTTTCTAGGCCCCCTTTAATCACTTTCCAGAATGTCTGGCTCTACTTCAGGGATCAAGCTTTCATACATATCTTAGTTGTATTTTTATTTGTGTCTTTATTATTATGGTCACAGACCAGCATTTTATACAATTTTTGGAAAAGGGTTACCAAACTCAAATTAAGACACACATTTTAGTTATAAAACTACTTTGTGAAAAAAATGCTAAAATAATGAAATGCTAAATTACTAAACTGCTTAGTGAATGTCCATCCATTGTCTTTGGCCAGTGCCCAATGAGATGTAACAGAAAGATATAAAGAGATAAAACAGCATAAAAAGCATAAGAACATTTTTACTATTTTAAAACACTTCAAATCAGGAGAACATTTTTCTTTGTAAAGCTATGGATGCCGAAAGAAATACTCCAACTCTCCTAGAGATGTTAAGGGTCTGCTCTGGCAGCAAAAGGCAAATGAAATCATCATTAGATTAGGAGGGTGGAGAAGGATATGAAGGGACCCGTGGGGCTGGAGTTTTAGATTCCTCCAGGACACAGAGGTAGATCCCATCCAATATCGCAAAAGACAAGACGTTAAAGCAGGCTAAGAAAAGAGTGGTTTGGATGGGTAATCAGGTCTGGAGCCAATCCTAAATGACTCATGACACAAAATGCTGGTTATGGATGTCCCCTGAATGGCAAATGGAAGATATATGCACCAATTCACAAAAAGTTGGAAGAGGCTGAATGACAACAAAAATAAGAACTAATCTAACAAGATGCAAACAAACAAACAAAGAAACAAGAAGTACTTCAATTCAAGTTTATTTTCCCCACAATTGCATCTAAACTATGAAACTACTGAAAAAAATATAACTGACATTTATGGACAAACAGTAATAAGTCCTGGAACTTTCTTGTGTGAAGGGAAATTGTGACTTATTGGCCTGCTTTACTTAAAATGTTTGGCCACAGTAAAGTTTGTTTTGGACTTAACTTGATGTACAAACATAGCTTTGAGTGATGTGTAAATTAAGCCTCTGTGGCTTGTTTAAGTAATCCTAATTTAAAATTATGGCTTAGATTTATGTTTGGTAACAGGCATTCTTTTATTTTATATCTGGTAATTTCGTTCTTAAGGGGCATCTACCTCTTCTGAATCTATGTGAAGAACAAAGTACATAAGAGTTGCTCCCCTCCTCCTTTCCCATATATTCTTACCCAATGGTGTTGTACAGCAAAGTATAATTTGTAGGAAGACCCCCATCTGAATTAGGTTCCCATTGGCAAGTAAATGTTTCATTTCCCTGGGACAGGCAACTTATTATTTTAGGCTTTCCAGGAGGAGATTGTCCTGAAGAATTGAAATAACAAAATCAGTTATTGTTAGTAGAGTGGTTATGAGCCTAGCATGTGGATTTGAATTTGCCTTTGTTGGCACTGTGTTCATAATTGTTTATTTCTATCCTGTTTTTCTTTCCCAAAGAAACGAATAACATCTTACAGAAATGAGTATCACACTGCTAAAATACAGGCAAGAAATATAAATGGGTTATAAAGTTGTATAATAAAGCTACTGAGTTTCAAATTCAATACTTAAAGGAAAAAACCCAATTAAACCCAAGGTTTAGTAAACATGAAATCAAGGAACAAGGAGATCACACATATTTTAGCCAATAATATACATATATGTCTCAAGTACAAACAGCTATTATAACAAACTTTTGGAACAGACATTTTCAAGGTTTCTGCCTCACTAGCCTCAGCTCTTACAACTGCTAAAGAATTGGACTTGGACCAGAAAGGCTGGATCCATTATTAAAGCCAGGCAACAATGAAAAAATCATAGCTACAACCTTTTTAAGACTGTCATGCAGTGGTCTCAAGAGTCTTCCTCAAACAAGAACCAAACTAGGGATCTCATATAAGAGATCCTGTGCTGCCAGGCCTCAGCAATCATGCAAACCAACAACTAGGTATCTTCTCTGCTCTGGCCTGAGCAGATTCTGATCCAGACCAAGAGCCTCCTCAGTTCAGCCTTTGAGAAAACCCACATCTGAAGACAGAGCAGCAAAAAAACAGAGGAAGAGTTCGGCTCTGTCAAGAAACAGCTGGATCTGATCTAATAAAGCTACCCAGCAGTATCCTGATGAAAAAACCCAACCCTGATCAGCCAATCCTGAACGAAGAGTTCGGCTCTGTCAAGAAACAGCTGGATCTGATCTAATAAAGCTACCCAGCAGTATCCTGATGAAAAAACCCAACCCTGATCAGCCAATCCTGAACGAAGAGTTCGGCTCTGTCAAGAAACAGCTGGATCTGATCTAATAAAGCTACCCAGCAGTATCCTGATGAAAAAACCCAACCCTGATCAGCCAATCCTGAACTTAGTAATGCCACTGGAACAAAGCCAGTCTATGAATCCTTCTGTGACCTTCATCTTAGAACTCCTAGCTGCAAAGACTTCCTTGGAATTGACTCATTTTGTCTTCTGACTCTTTCTCTCTCTCCTTCTATTTCGTACACTGTCTTTCTGTGAGTCAACTTGGATTGTAATTCGAATTTTGAGATAAACCTAGCAGATTTACTATGACCTTAACCCAGATAAGCCCTGTAGTCTGTGAGGCTAAAACAAAGACACGTAATTTGTGAAACTTCAGATAAAATAGCGTAAAAGCATGCTGATCACCAAATATGTTAAGAACAAACTCAACCATGCTATCCTGAATACTTTGGCAGTTTATATATATGGCAAATAGGACACAGACCAAACTTTCAGCATTACATATTTATTTCAAGCCCTAGAGATGAAAGAGTACAAGGCAGTGCAACTTTGCTGCGGCAAATTAGAATATTCAGTGTAAAAAGTACAGCTGCTGCTTTCTCAGTAGGTTGTTACGGTATAACAGATGAACCAGCAGGCGTTGGAAGAGCAGTTGCCAAGTTTTTGCTCCAGTTGCCAAGCCTTTTTTCCAGCTGCCCAGCTTCTCTGGTTGCACAACATCAGATAAAGTGTATTTAGTTGTCTCCCTTTAGCACTTTGCCAGATTTCTGTTTTCTAAAGTTTGAGCTTCCCTTAACCAGATGCTTTTCAGATGTGCTGGACTATAAACCCCATCATCCCTTGACAGCATGGCTTCCCAATCAAGTGGGGGAAGGCTAGTGTAAGACTTCACACGAGAAGTCTTTATTTTTGAATATATGCTTAAATTTGGCTAACAGTCCTTTCTTTTACTCATTCGGTTGTTTAATTTATCAGCTGTTTATTAACTATTATGCCAATCATTGAACCGCATATGTGTTTGCATGTGCAAAGTTGGCTAAAGATGTGAAAGAAATCTACATTTAAACATTCATTAAAAAAAAAATTAAGGGTAGGCCTGTTTTATTGCCATAAATTTGTTGTTGTTGTTTAGTCGTTAAGTCGTGTCCGACTCTTCGTGACCCCATGAA